AGTTCATGTTAAGATGGCTAATGCAACACATGCAAAATGCAACTAGAAATAGGCTCGGCTATTCTAAGATGTCATGTGAAATGCAACTTGATACATGTATTCAAATTGGAATTGAAATACAATGCAGTTAGCATGATGCGCTGAGCCCGGTGCATGCATGACATATGAATGAATCCAAACATGCATAGCATAAGGATGCTAATTGAAATATTCCCTAATACTAACCATCGTAAGCGGTTAAATAAAAGGGAGAAAGAAGTAGGGGTTGGAAGACATGCATCACACACACGCATGCTTATTAGACAATTCGCCATCTCTCGAAGGGACCAAAAGAATAATACAAATTTAACTAACTAACAAGCTAATTAAATAGTTACAGTCCATTTAACTAGTTTAGCAAATTAACTAAGCTAATAAAGTGGTAAAACAGCCTCAGGAAGAGGGTCCAATGCATGCGTCCTTGGCTTCGCTCGGAAATCCACCACCATGCACAAGCTACCTCTGTTTTCACTGTTTTATGCCTCTAAAAATTGTACAAGTCCCAAGGATGCTTCAGCATCACTTCCTGATCACTATGGAATATCACCGGCCAAGCGGAATAGTCACCGGCCATGGGAAAGTGGTAATCGACCAGTTGTAAGGCTCTCGGCCATCCATTATTGGTCGATCGGCACTGAAAATGGTCAGTCAACCATATCTTCCAGCAGAACCCTGTTTTGACAGCAGCAGAGGATAGACAAGGCATGGCAATGCATTTTAAAGCAAATGTTTGCACAACCAACCTCCCCATCATGTTATGAACTCAAGGGAGTTTGGTCTTCGACCCTCGGACCACCAATCACGCATTTCAATGCATGATGGTCCAAGAGGCCAAAGTGTACAATTTCAATGTCAAATGAAATGCACACAAAACACATAAAGGACCTAACCTCTATCATGCTTGATCAAGAGGCAAGGCATGCATGATATGCACAATGTTATGTATCCTAAGCATGCAAGCTAAGTATGCAACATGAACATGCAAACAAGCAATGTGTACTAGGAAAACAACCTAAGCAAACAAGCATGCGAGGCATGTAGCAACCATGCTAATGACTAACATGGAACAACATGTAATGGGGACTTAGCATGGAAGCATGTAAGGCAACTTAACAAAGAAAATGCATGCCAAATGCAATGTGATTCAAGCATGCGACAACATGCAATAGGCCAAGTATGCAACAACACGCAAGGCGAGCATGCAACAACATGCGAAGGATGGACTTACACCAAGATGGACAGTTCTCTAATAGATGTAACTTCTCATAAATGAGTCAATATAACTCCCAAATCAACCAAACACAAGAAACATCAACACAAGGAACTATTAAACACAATAATAGGGGGAATTCCTACTCAACTCCAAGGGAGGGGCCAATTTGAAGGAATTAGACATACCTTGAACTTAGTCTCTCAAGTTTTCAACCTTTGATGATCTTCTCCCCTACTTCTCCAATCCTCTCTACTCTAATTTCCTCCCAAGTGATATTTTCAAATGGAACTCTTTCATCAAATATGTAAGGCATAAGCATATATATATCTAAAGGTGGAGATAAGGACAAAAATCAATCGTTTAATCACCCCAAATTGAAATTTCACAAAAAATCTCATTATGGCTTAAAAATCATGTAGATTTCAAATGTCAAATTAATTTCGAATTATCAGGCTTCAAGGACCCTCAATTTTTTATTCAAACATTGTAAGGGTGACAGATAATTTTCTTATTAAATAGATAGCAATCCATATTTCCAAGATTCACTTAATTAAACGAAAGTTTCACATAGAATTTCACAAGGAGCATTCAGAAGCACATAGTAAGGGCTGAGAATATATCAGAATCACATACGAGGGTCGGGTTATTACAAAAATGACTCACCACGCCAACGGCATGAGCAATATCCGGCCTTGTACAAACCATGGCGTACATCAAAGAACCAACTGCTGAAGCATAAGGAATTTTCCTCATCTCTTCCTTGTCTTTCTCACTTGTAGGACATTGATTCGAACTAAGCTTAAAGTGACCCACAAGTGGACAACCAACTGGCTTTGCTTTATCCATGTTGAACCTCTCAAGAACTTTCTCAATGTAGCTTTCTTGAGACAACCAAATCAGCCCCTCTTTGCGATTACGAACAATTTTCATACCAAGTACTTGCTTTGCCGATCCCAAATCTTTCATAGCAAAAGACTTGCTCAACTCCAATTTCAACCTGTTTATCATGGTAGAATCTTGACCCACAATTAACATGTCATCAACATAAAGCAAAAGAATAATAAATTTGGCATCTGGGAAATTTTTCACAAACACACAATGGTCCGAAGTGGTTTTAAAAAAACCATTATTCATCATGAAAGAGTCAAATTTTTTGTACCATTGCCGCGGGGCTTGCTTGAGGCCATACAAACTTTTCTTCAATTTGCAAACAAATTTCTCTTTCTCTTTCTCCACGAAACCTTCTGGTTGCTCCATGTAAATTTCTTCTTCAAGATCACCATGAAGAAATGTGGTCTTTTTTATGCAAATATTCTAATATTCTGACATGTCATTCATACTACAAAGCATTCAAGCATAGCCTTATGCTATTCTTCTAGAAGCTTAAGCTCTCACATACTCAAACACATGCTACTTCCACCAAATGGAGTTAATTGTGGAGCGTATGGCTGATCAAATTACCAACTCAGTTAATCAGAGTTGAACCAAACACAAAAAGTTGAGCTAACTTCTGTACCTAATATAGGATACATCCATCATGGAGAAAGATTGAGAAATCCCAGAATAGAGACTCCAACCAAAAGCTACTACTGAGGGCTCCTAATGGAGTAATGGTAAGTCAAAAATGTGGAGTATTAAATAAATAATTACAGCCCATGATTCTCTCATGTATTGAGAAAGTAAACAAACAATGAATTCCCACAATAATTTAACAGTGAAGGAAAAGCAGAATTTTATTCTCAACTAAAAACCATGATCCTTCAAATTAAGCAATTTGAGGTTATATAAACTGGATCTTTCCCATCTTCAGCGGTAGTTTCTACCTTAGCTGGTCTCATTGTGTTTCATTCTAATTTTTCTTTCTTTATCTAATACAAAACTCATAAACACTATCTTCATAGTAGGGTCTGTAAGTCCCACTCTACTCATGAATTTAACAATTATATTTCAAAAGGTCAGATTTCCTCAACCTTAAGATTCAGGTGTTTACTCATCAAGAAGTGGCCTAAATAGGAACGAATGAAAAAAATAAAATTCTGACCTTTTCCCTTGGAATTTCAACTTTAGATGCAATATATTCAGCAGTGCTCCTTTTGTCCCCAAAAAGCATATATAGGTTGACACCTTGCTTATGCAAGGATTCAACATGTCTAGCATCTTCTCTGATCTGATCCTCAACATAAATAAGACTTGCTAGAGTACCATCTACTCCCACATAGACAACTGATTGATTCTTAAGTTCCTCCACTTCTTGAGATAAATACTGACCAACTCCATGCCTGCAGGGTTGAAAATAAGAATATAATGACAGTGGATCTAAATAAAACGAACTCTATACGTTATTTTAAAAAATAAATTGTTGCTTCTTCATTCACAGGAAAGTAATTTATGCTCAAAAGAAATCACAAAACAAATAACATTTTCCTCCATCAAAAGAAATTCCCAATGTACAGTAAAGTATTCCCAAGTAAAACTCCATGTCACCTAAAATGAGGAAATCAATGTCTTACATACCTTCGAACCCAATCCACTGTCCCGACAGACACCTTTTTATTCTTAATAGTTGCTACAGCACCAGACCCATGCTCCTCCATGCAATTTGTGACAACAATATGGAAAAAGTCTAAGGAAGAGAGAGACGACACAATTTAGAAGGCAAGAAGAAGAAGATACATACTTGGTATGAAGAAGTGGATGTTCCACAGAAGAAACCATTTGGGAATTGTGATCTTTTGATGTCTTTTGCTTCATTGAAGCTCTCAACAAAAGAATGAACAGCGGAAAAAATGAGAAAAAAGCAGAGGTAGAAATGGGTATACTTTTATCTTTCATTTTGGTTTGATTCAATTTGTCAAAGATTTCAAGATCAGTGTAACTATGAAAAAGTTATGGACATTCTGGGCATATTGGCTCATCTATATATATATTTTTTCTTGATGGGTTTGGTAAAGGGTTGTTTCAATCTCACACTATGTCA